GTAAGAACAAGTTTTCTTTGGACTTCGCACCATTTTCATGTTGTTTGGCATTACGAAATTTTTTTTTTAAATCCCTATGCGAATTATGTATGTCTCATCCTAAATCCGTGACATATTTAGTAAGGAGGGAATTGTTTTCTTATAATAGTATTTGTTTTGGTTATACTAGTAAGTTTTAACAAAGAAACACAATTGCTCATCTCTCACCACGTTCTCTCGGTTAGTCTTTGAAATAAATTGCTCCAAACTACTAAAGACGGTGGAGAATCAACCAGAATTGACTAACTTTCTCTACGTATTTAGAAATTTGGAGTTTGGAAAAAAAGCACATGTGAAATGAATTTATAAGATAATTTTCTCCATTCGGTATTCACATTTTCTCTAAACGTAGTTCCGATATTGAAACACACAATAACCGGGGAAAATTTGTGTCTGATTCGGTTCTTTTCGGTACGATTCCGGTTTGGAATTAGTTTATCTTGTTTTCGTCAAAGACTTTGCTACATTACACAGAGTCACATTCTCTCTCTCTTCTCTTCGCAATCAAAATGCAGCTCCAAACCCAATCCTTCGCTCTCAATCTTCTCCCATCTCCGAATTTCGGAAAACCCACCGAGAAACGCGAATTCATCACTCTCAAACGAGACCCATCTCGTCCGATTTCCCTCCGATGTTCCGTTTCCACGGCTTCAGACGCGACGGCGACGGCGACCCATCATCGTCTCTCCGCTTCGACCCACAAGCCCTTTCCGGCGGAGGTTTCGAGGAGTATCATGGAGCTTTCCTCCATCGGAACTCTCTCCACCTTGACCCACGACGGCTGGCCACTCGGCGTGGGCGTTCGCTTCGCCGTTGACAAAGATGGCAGTCCTGTTCTTTGCCTCAATCGCACTCTCTCTCCTGACAAGAGGTCTGCTCTTCATGTTCAGGTCCTCATTTTCACTCCATTTCTTCTATAAAAATAGCAAATTCGATCCTTTGTGTTTAAGAGAATCGTGATTACTATTTGAATTAGTGTTCTTCTGATCTTATATGATTCTGTTTTTGTAATATGGAATCAGTTAGAACAATGTGGATTGAGGACTCCTCAGTGTACGATTCAAGGTAGCATTAGTCGACCTGGAGATGATGATGTTCTAAAGGTACTGAATCTCTCACTCTAAAAAATCACAACATCAATCTTGGAGTTACCTTAGTGAATCGGTAAAGACACTCTGTGTGCGC